ACATTTGAGATTTCTCTCAGCAAGATCCATTATAAAAGATTGGAGGAAAAAATATAAAAAAATGAAAAGTGATAGGCAGCACAAAAATAACTAAGATAGTAAGAAAGAAATAGAACACGTTATCTAAAGTGGAACTTCACCCAAACCCGGAAGTTATGCGTTTCCGCCTACTTCCCCCCCCCCCCCCCCCCCCCCCGTCTACCACTTTTGTACACATTTATTTTTTGAGGGGGAGCGGGTACCTGGTTTTAATGTCCCCCCTCTTTGCAGCCTTCTAGGACACATCACAGGTCCCAGAAGGTTGCAGGACCATTCACAAAGTGCAGTGCTCCTTGCACGTGTGCAGTGAGAAGCCAGATGTGAGGACACAGAGAGGGCTTCTCATGGTAAACATGAACATAAAGACTATTGAAGAACCTGCCTAGGTGAGGACAGTGCTGGATATCCGATAAGTGTCCCTTTAATTTAAAGTCAGCAAGGGGATTGAAGATCCTCTTTAACTACTAGAACCCAGTCTAAAGAAACCTACACTGGCCTGGGTAAGCACCTACGTGAAGAAAAAAAGACCACTATGTGCAGGAGCTCCGAGGGCCACACAAAAATTGGCAAAGGGCTGCAAGTTGGGTTCTAGGACATGGAGACCTCAGATGCATTCTTGGGTTTTAGGTGGGGCCACAGGGACGGTTGACCCGTGCACATTGTGAATCATGGTGGTGAGGGCTGGGCCATGGATGTGTCATCCTGTGACAACACTAGGCTTACTAGGAAACTGCAGGCTCTTTGTGCTTTTACAAAGGAAGAGAGCGCATGGCTGCCCTAGTGTACTACAGCTTTATTAAAATGAAAGTTAAAAACTTATCCAAAATGCACTCATATTTTCCAAGTAGTATAGAGCATATTGTATAAATAGATGATCCACCGCATGGTCCCTTTAAGATCTAAGGCCTCTGAATGGTGCGCTGTCGACTGCTGAACCTCTGAATGGTCCAGCTGGCACCGCACTCCGCCAGTGCCGGCTGGACTGGATGCATGCACAGTGGGGAGGACTCGCTGGCAGTCTGTCTCCATGTATTCAGTGCAGTCTGTGGTGGACAGTGGTGGACAGCAGACCATTCAGAGGCCTTGGATCTTACAGGGACCACACTGTGGATCATCTATTTATATAATATGTTCTATACTACCTGGAAAATGTGAGTATATTTTGTATACATTTTTAATTTTTAATTTTAATAAATCTGTATTACACTAGGGCAGCTGTGCGCTCTCTTCCTTTGTATTGTTTTAGGTCTTTTCCCACCCCACCCCCCCCTGTAGAGATTGTAGAGAGCTGCAGCGCCCCATGAGTGAAAAAGGAAAAAGTTTTGGCATTTTGACATTTAATTAAATTACATGTTCCACCCATTGTAATATAATAGTAGCCAGCGCACCAGCTAGTTCTTTTTCTGTCCAAGTCTTTGTGCTCTTAGATGATGTTCTGTTGTTCTCTTTGTTAACAGAACCACACATGCCTTAGATTGTAAGCTCCAAGGATCAGGCCCTCCTATCCCTCTTGTATTGAACTGTACTGTTGTTGTATTGTCTCCCGTTATATTGTAAAGCGCTGAGCAAACTGTTGGCGTCCTGTATAATCCTGTATAATAATAATAATAATAATAACAGATGGCAATCACAGAATACAAGGATTTTTGCAACTTTGACAGCAGAAGAAAATGTCAGCAAAAGCGAAACTTAAAATTAATTGATTTCAATTTTTTCCTGTCTAAATGCCCTTTAAAAACTACGAAAAACCGCTTAAATTTTGCCTTCCCCATTGACTCCAATGCATTCCACCAAAATAGACATTTTAATATAATCTTCTGATTTTCAAACATTTGGGGAAATTAAAAATCTCAAATGAGCTCATCCTTAAGAACCACTAATTGCAGTTATTTGACTGTTATGTCCATTTATTCACTGACCAATGACCCCAAAACAAGTATGCATATCAGGAGTTCTGATTGGACTTTCTGCCATGTCAAAGGCTGTGACCCTGAGAGTACTGAAGCCAGAGGCAGCCATAAAACCAGCATTATAGGAAGGAGACTAGCAATAGCAGCCTACATATTTCTCTCAATGCACACTGAACTCTAGGCAGGTATAAAAGACACACATTAATGCAGCTTTGGATTATATAATACATCAATATTTGTTTTTTTTAATTACAAGCAGTATGCATATCTGATTCTGATTTAATAGCCTTTTGCAAACTCTGTAAAGCCCAGAATGGATATGCTCATGTGCTAACAAGGAACATACTGATAGAAGGAGAGAGCAGAGGGATGAAATCACTAGTCTGCTGCTTCTCCTTCACTGTCCAGTAAAAGGCTGGGGGAAGGGACAAAACCTGTGTTATTTAGTGTAACTGTAGCAGAGAAAATTACAATCTCCTGCCCCGCTAGACATGGCTGTGCCTTATGGCAGATCTGTGTAAATCTTAGGACTGGATGTACAAAAATACAAATCATTTTGCAAGTAAACAGTTCCCATGCACATATTTCACCTGTTTATTTAGCTATCTGCCTAGCATTCAATTTTATCAATTCAAATGGCCCAATCTAAAGCTGAAGATTAATCTACTTATATTTGGTTCTCCCAGACTCCTCCTTGATCATCAATATGCTAATAAAGTCTTTAAACAAAACTCTTTTATTTTCATTACGTACCTTATTTCAGACTCAGTGATGTCATCACAGGGTCTCTGTACTTCTTTATGGAATGCAGCCAGATCAGGACTGGTGGGAGGAGCCAACAGAGTGCTGTTTTCTGAAAACATCACAGCACCCTGCCTCAGTACTCTTCTCAAGAGCCCTCAACACCAATGCAAACAGTGTGCTGGTTCTTGGTGGGATTTATGTAAACAGCAAAATGCCTTTACAGGTGGATGCCAGTCTAAAGCAATAGGTATTTTTAGACAGGCAACATTTGCTTGTAGGGCTCCCTAGGTAACACCTACATGGATTAGTAGAACTGAAATCCAAGAAATGAAAGAGGTGGGCCAGGGACAGTGAGGCTGGGAAGGAAAGAGCTAGATGATCCTGGATATCCTTTGGCTAGAAAATGAGGTGGGCTCTATCTGCCTTTCTGCAGCTTCTAATGCACACTGTGAGAAGCTCTCAGATGGCAGTGAAATCAGAGTAAACATTTTCAGTACAGGAGAGGAGCCTGTACAACTACGCGAGATGGAAGGTAAGGCTGGAGTTCATCTTGAAAGTAAAAAATCATTCAGAGAGGTAAATATGCACTTTAATAATTGCTGCAAAAGCAATGGTACACAGTAAGTTATGCTTAAAAGTGAAGTATGTATTGTATCTATTGTAACTCCCTCCTCATTGGCCGACCTCTTCGCAGGCTATCCCCTCTTCAGTCCATCATGAATGCTGCTGCCAGACTCATCCACCTTACTAACTGTTCCATATCAGCCACCCCTCTCTGCCAATCCCTCCACTGGCCTCCACTCAGTGTCCTCCATCCCTCTCTGCCAATCCCTCCACTGGCTTCCCATTGCCCAACGAATAAAATTCAAAACATTAACAATAACATATAAAACCATTTATAACTCTGCCCCAAATTACATCACCAATCTTGTCTCCAAATATCACCCAAGCCATACTCTCCGCTCCTTGCACGACCTCCTGCTCTCTACCTCCCTTGTCTCCTCCTCCCATGCTCGTTTCCAGGACATCTCCAGAGCTTCCCCCATCCACTGGAACTCTCTACCCCAATTTATCAGACTATCGCCTACTCTGCTCACTTTTAGGTGATCTCTGAAAATCTATCTCTTCAGGGAAGCCTATCCTGCCCTCAGCTAATAATGGAATCTTCTACTCTTCCTACCAGTCCATTTCCCACAGTTACTACCTTTTGTACCACTAGCCCCTCCCTCCTAGATTGTCAGCTCCAAGGTGCAGGGCCCTCCTATCCCTCTTGAACTGTATTGTTGCTGTATTGTCTCCCGTTATATTGTAAAGCGCTGAGCAAACTGTTGGCGCTATATAAATCCTGTATAATAATAATAATAAAGTATGGCCAATTTTTTTGGCCACCCTTCTTTTGTGGGTCACAGGTGTGCACTTACTTTTGCTCTCCTGTGACTCAGAAACAAGTAAACTCTATTGTCAGCTGATGTCACAGAGCCCATCCAGGCTCTGGAAGGATCCCAACCATATTGTCAGGATCCACACAGCTGCCAGATTGACAACTGGCTCTGCTTCTGAATGTTACATAGTTACATAGTTAGTCTGGCTGAAAAAAGACAAAAGTCCATCCAGTTCAACCATAGAAAAAAAAAAAGTTTTAATCCTACACCCACAGTTGATGCAGAGGAAGGCAAAAAAACCCAGCAAAGCATAATCCAATTTGCTCCTGCAGGGAAAAAAATTCCTTCCTGATCCCCGAGAGGCAATCAGATATTCCCTGGATCAACTTTACCTATAAATGTTAGTATCCAGTTATATATTTGCGACTAAGAGCCGGAGTCAGCTCCTCCCCCCCATCACCAGCCTGATTCTCCAGTGAGCACTACAAGAGCAGAATGGAGAGAGATGACTGACAGTCACTACTCTCCGCTCCAACCAAACTGAGAACTGAGCTAAGTATGTATGTGAGTATCTATATATATTTTTTTTTACACGCCCCAAATTTCTCCTTTACAAATCAGAAATCTGCATCCATTGAGTGATTACTTTAATTGGATACAATCTTCAATCTGATTGGCTGTTTGTTATTCCGTACACTGTGCTGTTAAATCTAGACCCTGAGTTTGAGAGTTTTATGTCAGTGTTGTCTGGTATTACAGCTGATGGTGTATATTATTATCATTATACAGTATTTATATAGTGCTAAAAGGTTTGCTCAGCGCTGTACATGATATATATATATATGTATATGACCAGTGCAAAGACTCCAAAATGAGAAGATGCTGCAAGTTAAAATAGTTGTTTTCCCGTGTTCTTTCTGTAAAGGTAAAGCACTGCGATGTTACAGCTGTGTGGCGACTAGTGAAGAAGAGTGCTACAAGCAGGGTACCCACGCGTGTCCACAGTACTCAGATTTCTGCTCCACCATCCTTACTCCAAGTAAGTAACAGCTATTTCTGTCTTAAAAGTACTTACATGATAAGATGACCACAGATGTTCCAATCTCATCGAGCAATCTCCTTTAGATCTACCAATAACTATATACTGCAAGAGCCTACCTGATTGGATACAAATTGAATGGATTGGGTAATAAGGCCTTTGCACAATTTAGTAGTTGGAAAATATAAATGGAGATGCAGATTATAAAGTAGTGTCCAATGTAACAATAAAAATTTAATTCCCGTTAGCACCCTTTAGGAACCTGTGCCAATGCTGCCTATAGAGTTCACTAAAGTGAATCAGTACTCCATATTATACTTTGTATAGAGCTTACCCCCGAAGGAGCCGCTTGATGCGTTGGGTCTCCTGTTCCCGTGCCCATGAATCTGTGAACAGCTCCTCACATGCTGACACAATTGACTGGGCAGGGAATGCTTATTGCAGGTATCTGTATACACACCCCAAAGGCTCAAACTGCATAAACACCAAAAATGACACAGTATCTGGTTAAGCAATGGCAAAAGTATATTGCAACAGGGTAAACAGAAGAAATATACCATAATGGATCAGAGGAAAAAGAATTATGCTGCAATGGTTATACCTCAAAAGAGATATATTACAACAATTAAACAAGAGAAATATATTGCAATAATTAAGCGAAATACCGTATTCTACTACAATAAAAAAATAACAGTAATATGCTGCAAAAAATGAATTGCCATAAAGCACAACCACTTCTGAGACCTGTCCTGGTCAACTAAGGGAGATATGTTAATGTGTGTACCAAAATAACAGTTCAGCAGTCAGTAGAATGATACTCTATTTCTTCTGCTGGGCAGCTCGTTGGGGTCCAACTGATGGAGCGCTCAAGGCAATGTCCCTTTAAGACTGATGCAAGCACAGTTACTGTAGTTATTGCAGACAACTCTGTCCCATTTTGGTAAGGTGAAGAGCAGGGTTGGCCAGCAGCCTCTCACCACTCTGCGTCAGTAGGGGATCTCCTTCTGCTCACTGGCAGAATGTACCCCAGTCAGTGTCCTCAGCATTCAGTTCTTTGATCAAGCAGCAGGCTCAGCCTGCATTCAGGGCATCCCTTGATACTCCGGAATGGCTTCTACTCTTTTTCTCTTTCTATGGTGCAGCAGTCTGTTCTCAGCCTTGCTCTCCCTGCAGAATGTGTACTCTTCCTTTCCTCATTCCTGGAAGAAAAATGCCACTCCTCAGTGCCCCTAGCAGTTGAAGTTTAAAACAAACCTGTCTCTTTGGGGACTATATATCTCCCACAATCCTTCACATTTCTCTTCAGGGTCTCTAGCAGTCCATGTCCTTAATTCAACCCCTAATGGATGGAAGGTGGCTTAACATTAGCTGCTCTGTGTGACAGCAGCCAGTCCTGCAGTCATGCCTGTCCCCAAATCCTTTCTACAAATTTGAGCAAAAGCAGCATTGTACATGGGAAACCGGCAATCAGGTCCATGCTATTACTCCTTCCTTGCCAGGACTGCTGACCGGGCTACATTTGTAATGTCCTTTATTATCCAGAAAAGAGTCTTCTGTCACCCTCTCTGATTTAGTTGTCCTTTGCTACTGCGACTTAAATTTCCCTGACTACAAGCCTAAGTCTTTCTCGCAGCCATTACACTGTTTAATAAGACTGCCTCAGTGGCCAGTTAGGCTACTCTTATTTATGGATAATATAGTGACCCTTTACATATGTGGTCATTGGAGAAGTGCCCCCTTACATTGGAAGTTGTTGGTAACGTGTTCCCTATTAGTATTTAGTGAAGTACCCTGTTACATTCGTTTTAACTGATGAAGTGTCCTCTTACATTGATGGTCGATGAAAAAGTGCCTCCATCACATTGGTGGTCACTGGTGAAGAGCCCCCTTACATTTGTGGTCAGTGTAGAAGTGTCCACTTACATCAGTGCAGAAGTGCCCACCTTACCTTTGTGGTCAGTGGAGAAGTGTCCCCTTGCATTTGTGGTCAGTGTTGAAGTGACCCCTTACATTGATAATCAGTGGAAGAAGGCCCCCTTTTATGGGTGGTCATTTGTGAAGTGTGCCCTCTAATTGGTGGTTAGTATTGAAGTACCCCTTTACATTAGTTTTCAATATTGAAGTGTCCCCTTACACTTGTGGTCAATGGTAAAGTGCTCCCTTACACTTGTGGTCAATGGAAAAGTGCTCCCTTACACTTGTGGTCAGTGCAGAAGCACCCCTCCCCCTTACATTGGTGGTCAGTGGAGAAGTGCCCCCCTCACATTAGTGGTCAGTAGTGAAGTACCCCCTGTAGAAGAGGATGAAAGAAAGAGCGCACAAACCTTGCGCATTACCTCAATAAATAGTGACTCATTTTATTTTATTTAGGAAATATACTCACAAAAGTGACAGTAAAACAGGCATAAGTTAGCCATAATCCACACAGGGTTACAGGTAAATCCAAAGGGGGGGGGGGGGGGGATAGAAGCTAACGCGTTTCCAAGGGCTCTCCCTTCTAGACTAAACAGGCTGAATTGCTGTAATACTGACACTCAGTGGCTGAATGTTTCCTTGCCATGGGAACTCTGCTATACTGAAGTTTCTATCTGCCAAACCCAGCTCTGGTGAAGACGGGAGCGCCCTTCGAAACGCGTTAGCTTCTATCCCCCCCCTTTGGATTTACCTGGCTAACTTATGCCTGTTTTGCCGTCACTTTTGTGAGTATATTTCCTAAATAAAATAAAATTAGTCACTATTTATCGAGGTAACGCGCAAGGTTTGTGAGCTCTTTCTTTCATCCTCTTCTACAGTTTTATCAAGCTTCCCCAGCTTCATGATAGAGCTGCACAACCTCTGATCACCAGCAGATGAACACGCTGTTTGCTACTAATGCCCGTTTGATCTGAGTCTTTGAGCGCAGGAGATAATGGATCTTTGGTGAAGTACCCCCTTACATAAGTGGTCAGTGGAGAAGCTCCTACATCACCATGGGGTTCAGTGGTGAAGCACCTCTCTTACATTAGTGGTCATTGGAGATGTGCTCCAATTACATTGATGGTCTGTAGTAATGTACTCTCTTACATAACTGGTCAGTGAAGACGTGCCCCCCTTACATTAGTGGTCAGTGGAAAAGTGCCTCCCTTACACTGGTGGTCAGTGGTGAAGTATCCCTTTACATTACTGGTGAGTGGTGAAGTCTCTCTCTTCGTTTGGTGGTCAGGGTGAAGTATCCCCTTACATTAGTGATGAATGGTGAAGTCCCTTCCTGAGTTTTGGTGGTCAATGGTGAAGTGTATCCCTTACACTGGTGGTCACGGGTGAAGTATCCCCTTACATTAGTGGTGAGTGGTGAAATCTCTTCCTTCGTTTGGTGATCTGGGTGAAGTATTCCCTTACATTAGTGGTGAGTTGTGAAATCTCTCCCTTGGTTTGGTGGTCATGGTGAAGTATCCCCTTACATTAGTGATCAGTGGTGAAGACCCTTCCTGAGTTTGGTGGTTAATGGTGAAGTGCATCTCTTACACTGGTGGTCAGGGGTGAAGTATTCCCCTACATTAGTGGTGAGTGGTGAGGTGCCTCCCTTACATTGGTGGCCAGTGGTGAAGTGAGATGAATTGTTGATCATTTTACACAGAGATGGAAATAAATTACAGCATAGGGGGCTGCAGGTAGCATGTGTCAAATATATAAAGCAGACACATGTCCATGGAAATCTAATTGCTGAATAGCCAAGCAACATACTGTGGCATCTGCATCAGTCAGTTTTTGGAGGTAATCTTCCATTTATCTTTTTACAATACTGGAGTTTAACTTTTAACCCAAATACTGCAGTCATGTGGGGGCACCATGCCGCAGAATTTGAGGTAGAGACATAAAAATTTGTTGGCAAAAACATATCTCGGCTTCAGAGACTTGAGACTCCTCAGCCCTCTCTGAACTCCCACAGTTACTGGTCAGCTTCGAAAACCTCCAACTGACCTTGCAGACAACTTCAGTCATTACACAGGACACACCTAGGCCAAGACGTGCCAGAAGTGGTGGATGTTGAAATCAGTCAAGTTATCAGAAGCTTTCAGTGGAAAGTGGTTGAATTCCTGAGATAAGGAACTCTTATGCTCTCACATATATCTCAGATACTTAAGACTCAAAGCATAAATAGAATAACATGTATTGTGTGTACTGTGTGTGTTTTTAGATTGTAAGCTCTAATGAGCAGGGCCCTCTGATTCCTACTGTATGAAGTTGTATTGTAAATGTACTCTCTGCCCTCATGTTGTAAAGCACAACTGTTGGCGCTATATATATCCTATATAATAAAAAAATATATATATATATATATATATATATATATATATATATACAGTATATACACACACATAGTTATGCTATTTATGCTTTGAGACTTAAAGCGGAGTTCCACTCACGCTGTCAAAAAAATAATGGTCAGCAGCTGCAAAAACTGTAGCTGTTGACTTTTAAAAAACAGCCACTTACCTGTCCCACGATCCCGCGGTGTGATCCCTGCAGCCCGTTTCATCGGCCATCCTGTATTCCAGGAGGCCAGCATCTTCAGTGTGGGCACCCGGCTGTGAAAGCTTGCGGCTTCATAGCTGGGTACCCACTGCGCATGCGCTAGTAGTGCTGCGCTTCATGAATGGTCCTGTAGTCTTCTGTCACGTGTCCCAAAAGACTACAGGGAGGGAGGGAGGACACCTTCCACTTCCGATCGCCTAGGCGATCGGACCGGAAGTGGGAGTGGGTACCTGTCAAATCCGGGTACCCGGGTACTCGCTCCCCCCCAGCCCCCCAAAGGTGCCAATCCTTAATAGGGAGCGGGGGGAGCAGTCCTTAAAGCAGAACTTTCCCTTTTGGGTGGAGCTCCGCTTTAAGTATCTGAGAAGAGGTGCAGAGAGGTAGACTTGCTTCCGTTAAGTCCTCTCTTGTTTCCTTCCTTGTTGAATCATTAATCTGCATCTGAAATGTGTATTGGTGATTTCTGGGTTAATGTCTTAGTGAAA